AAAAAAACTTCAAAATGAATGACACATTAGTTTTTGTGCGGAAAAATAAATGCGAGAAAAAACTTTCCGTAAGTATTGAGCCATAAATCGGATATTAATTTCTATTCATAAATAGTATTTTGCAATCAATTTGTCGTTTAATTCAATAGTTTTTAGACTTTAAGTGAATTCATAAATTCAATCAAAAGTTTGTTTTCGGAGAAAAAAAATCGTAAAAAAGTTTTTCATCAAATTATTAAACGAAGAGATTTTCGCAAACTTTTCTTTTATGAGATCCCAATCGATGGCCAACTCGTCGTCGAAATTGTATTTAAATAAACAGTAAATCAGTTTTGATGTGTCCTTTTGGGTCCACTTATCGGACATCTCGTCAAAGTTTGCTAATTTCCAGCGGAGAGTATACGTCCAATAACTTCTCATATCATTATCATTTCTATTAAGTTGCGCTAAATCTCTGATTTCTCTGAACTGAATAGTTTTGGTGAATATATGTTGAGTCAAGTCATCCGTATTTAACACCCGTTTCATGGCATCCATGAGTCGCGTGACCTCATCTGTACTCCAGTTCCCCTTATCATAGGGCTGTCCACTGCTGTTATAATAGAGATCAATACTATCTTTAGCTGAATGCGGATCGCAATGCAAATTATAGGCAATTCTAGTCCACTGGCGACCATATATTGAGTGCATATTCTTTATGATTAGTCTATCATTTGGCGTCAAATCCTTAGACAGTTTCAGTGAATGTAAGCGCACTCTCGCCGTATCCGAGATGTGTTTAACCGTACGGTTAGGCAACCCATTGGCTAATCGCAGGTAAAACTTTTCACGTCTCATGAAATCTTTGATCATTTTTCGGTCGCTTTTACTGTATTTATCGGTGAACGCAAAAAACCCTAATAAACGGGTTTTCATGTCTTCATCGCAATTGAATTCACGGCAAAACATATCAAAATTATGTCTCAATATTTGCAACTCCTCTGAACTGAACTTTCCTTTAATTACTTTCAGTTTATTGTCTTTCGCTAATTGTCTCTCTTTTTCTTCAAAGTGTGGGATAGGTATCAATTGATGTAACGGAGAGTTACTTATGAGACAATTGTTGCCATTATTCACACCATTATAGTGACTATTAATGAGCGCATTATCACTGCATTCATGAATTGAATCACTGGTTGTGTCCATACTTTGCACACATTTATCACTCACTCCTTGTTTGCCATTCATTTGCAATGCATTCCTATTAATAGACATCTCTTTCGCAACACTTTTCCCCAAATTATTCACATTT